GTGTGTGTGTGTGTGTGTGTGTGTGTACTTGTTTCTGCTACAGAGTGAGGACCACTTGCAAAATAGTTCCTATCAAAATGAGGTCTTTGATGTAAAGTGCCCCGGTCCTCACTTTATTTGCAGCTCTACTAGTTAGGTTTAAGTATGGTATGAACTGAGTTTTGGTTCAGGCTATTATTAGGAATTAACTAGTAATGGTTAGTTTTAGGGAAAATGTCTGGGTTAGGCATAAATACAGTTACAAAAATGAATGGAAGTCAATAAAAAAGTCCTCAGTTTGATGCAAATGCAAGGATGTAAAATAAAGACAACTTTGTTGTTAATCACTGGTTTAAACAGACTTTACTTAATTTCTAAAGCTTGATCCTCTCCAGGGAACCACTATTGACATTATGACCTATTTAGACATGTAGAATTGCTTGAACATGTTTTTTCTCTGCTCTACTTGTTCCCCTGCAGTAATTTTGGATCAGCTTCAGCATCAACTGTTTGAACACAGACTGGTTGTTTAGATTCTGGCTGCCTTCAAACAACAAAATCTGATACTTTAATAAACAAGAGCTCCCTCTGATCATGCTTTTCTCTGTCAAAAAATCAATCATTAATTTGTTGTTTGTGTTAGTTAACTAACACCGACCAACATCTTCGACAAATCACTGACCCTAGTCTGTGCTGGAAATCCCTTCGTTTCTCACACTCCAGCTAAWGCAAGGAAGAATGTAAAGAAAAGTTAGAGCTTATTAAACATTTTAATGCATCACACTCATTTTGGATTCTGCAACAGAGTTGCACACACAGGACTATTCACGTGCACAAATGCATGCATTTATCTTCGCAGTGTGAACCAGTAAAAGCCCCCCTTATTTCCAGTGSAGTTGCTCATCAAAGTAATTGGACCACAGTGCAGTTTAGTGCTGGTCCCAGTTAATTTGGCACTGCTTAATACGATGACAACCGTCTTTCTCTGGGCGGTCAAAATCCTTCAGCTAAAGCAGAATAATGAGTTTAGACTTTGAACACTAACAAAGTCCATATAAAGGCTGGGTCCACTGAATGGTCACAAAGGCTGTATTAACAGCAGTCAAGCTGAATCTGCTGTCAAAAATACCCTTTTTTCATGCTCCAGACCAGCACTGTGAAAAAGTCTTGAATAAACAGTTCTGACTCTACTTTTTCTTTATAATGTGATGAACAGCATTACTTAAATGGTCCTGTCTTGTGTTAAATGACCCTTTTACTTTGCCTCAACTCAGCCCTACCCAGGTCGGCCAGGTGCGGGTCCAGATCCCCCACCCTTTCAGCCCGGTTCTTAGAAACTCCTCATCCAGTTTTCCAAGCAGGTCGGGTGCAGCTGAAGATTCAATGTCAGCAGACTGCAGCTGATTGATTGGCAAATAGAGCAACGTCAAAAGGTATTTGGCCAAAAAAAAAAATAATATGGCAGATCATTATAGATGGCTTGATCTATTACTTCCTGATTGAGTTTAAACATTTAACAAGTAACCTCAGTTAACTATACAGAGAACAACAAACAGATACAACTCAAGCCAGGTTACAGATTGTTCAATCTGACTACACGAATAAGGGTTTAATTGATAAAGCATGATTTAAGATGTTAGTTGCTGCACACAACAGCCTCAGAGCAAGACTGACCCTCTGTTAACCAGTAATCTAAATGGTGTGACACATCAGCCTGACTCTCTCTAACATTAACAGAGAAATGGGAGGATTTGTTTCAGGGATTTGTTTCTGTGTAGACATAAAACACAGTGAGAGGTTGGAGGACTTCCCAGATTTGCATGAACTAAACATGAACTCTCATGTTACAAGAAAGCCCCCGTCAATGGAAATCAGGAAAAAAAAAATGCTGATCACTTAACAAAATAAACAATAAAGTGTGTGTTCACATCTGAATTCTTTCTGAATCWGTTCATTTCAGCAATGCACGCTTGTTTCCTTTGTCTCAAATCAGTAGAACAAACTTTAACTACAATAATCAAAAGCAAGTAGATATTTCTCAATGCCAGGTTTCTTTACAGAACTGAGATGAAAGTCCCATTTGCCATAAGATTTTTATCATTTTATTTTATTCACAGAAACATTTTTTAAGCCTACAAAGACACCCGTGTGTWTTCTGTCAAAGTCTGTCAGGTTTACCTTTGCTCAGCTGCATGCTGGCTTTGGTCTTGTCGCTGCAGCCCTGACTGCGTCTGTTCCCGGCAGCACTGACAGAGCCTCTGGGGGGGATGTCACTGCCAGCGGTGGACACTCTGGTTGTTGGGCCAGGTAGTCTAATGAAGGGTCAGAGAGACAAGAGGGAAGATAGAAAATAAATAAGAAAAAAAAAGAAAAAACCAATCCCAGGAGAATAAATAAACCAAAGATACAATTTTGTTGCAATTGTTGGACGAAGTGATTTAAAGTGGAGAAAACATTTACATTAATTTGTTTTAAAAAATCATTGCTTCACATTCTCAACTTTTCAAACATTAAGAAATGAATCTTCACCTGTGCAGAAGATTTCTCCACTATGAGACATTTTGTTGTGGAAATAAAGATAAAAAAAATCCAACATATTCTTAATGGTTTTGATGCACTGATTGTATTGATTTCCTGTTTGCTCTCCTGTTAGTCTCCAAGGTCAACTGCACCTAAAATTGATGACTGCAGTCTAACAGAGCCAACCTCTCAGCCTGTGCAATTTGCTTATTTAGTTCTTACACCATTTCAGGCTCTTTAGTGTCAGTAAATAATTATAAAAGTTTAAATCTGAGTCATCCTCAGCCTAAAACACCACATTTAATTATTAACTTGAGTAACAAGCTTTTCTTGCCCTTATTTGTACATTACTGTGATTAAAAACCCATAAATCTGAGTGTATACCCTGTGGGAGCTGTTCATGTCTGTCAGTTCCACACATGGATTGGACTGAATRCCACTGATGATTACAAGCTTTAGAGAAAGTTAAGATGCACTGATTCAACATCATAAATCAATCTCTGCTGTCCTTGATGATGTCTGTACAGCAGGCTGTGAAGTAACCCTGCTTTTGTTCCTGAAAAGTTAATTCACTAATGCCATCATCATCATCAATGGGAGATTATGAAAYAGAACCTGTGAATGCCTTTTCTCACTGAACTGTGAGTCCATTTTAAAGAAATCTAATGAGTTGACTGGACTTAACTGTTCATGTGAYAGTAAAATGTCCGTTTCAATGTCTTTTTCCTGCCAGTTTAATTAATCGGTAGATTCACACACAAGCTCACACACATATAAATGATCTTTCAGTACAGGATTATGATTATGTTTCTTAAAATGATTTAATGTAAATAGTAATTTAAATATTAAGATGACTATTTCTAAGATTGTAACATTTTTTTATTTTAATAAAAATCTTGCATGATCTGTTAGCACTCAAAGCTGCATATGTGTAAAACTGACACGTATTTTGTGTTAGCTAAGGTTATTTAGCTCTGGCATCCRTCCTGAATAGACCTGATCCCAAATGCCATTTGCTGCAGATGTAAATTCAAAAGAGTTTTATTAAAATCAATCCAGTGGTTCATAAGACATTTTGCTAACAGACACAACCAACACTAACATGATCCCCCACCTTCCATGCAAATGGGTGCCAATAACTATACRCCAGACTGTTAAATGYAGTAAAACTAGGTTAAAAATAAAACATATACATATATATAATGTCTAATTATTTAACTCTAACTGTACACAACCTAAACTTTACTAAATGTGATCATATCAGATCATTACTTTTCTTCAGGAATAATTAATAAATCTACAGCTTCAATTTTTATAACCTATTATAACTTGCAACATATATATAAAAATCCTTATTTGAGATGAAAAGCAAAGTATTAATAGTTTATAGTATTTTTTATGAATCCATTAAAAATGCATAGCAAGTTCAAACAGCAAAGCATTGAGATGAAAACATTAGAATTTGTAATTATAGGAGCCGACCAGCAGATGGAGACGATGCGTTGCTTTGAAAACGTCCTTGAATTGGGAGGGGGCAAAAGCAATAAATTAACATCTGGGATGGGCAGCATGCAAAACAACATTCTACATTTAGTGTCAAGGTGCTTTATCACATCATACAAGACAGCATGCTTAAAAAAATTAACGTAAAAGCTAATGTGAATAAAAACAAACAAAAACAAAATCAGTCACACATCATTTTGTAGACACTTCCTGGTATAGATTCTGCATTAATGTTTAATGTCAGATTATCTGGGGAATGTTCTTGTCAAAAAAAACCTAACACACACACACACACACACACACACACACACACACACACACACACACACACACACACACACACACACACACACACACACACACACTTAAGGGTTATCTAAAGGTCTTTCACGGCCCATTTAGCAGGCTTGCCAAATGAGGCATGATGCTACAGACAGACGAGTCCGTCCAACAGTGGAGCTTAAGTTCCTATCTGCTGAACACCATCTCTCATGCATTATTGATAGAGCTTGTAGTAGAGAATGCCCCTGATCATGGACAAAGAAACAACATGAAACTCATTACAAAAGCAAATGTTAGCCTTGATTAGGGGCAGTTTCTAGATTCTGATTTCCAGAAGGGGGTGGTGGTGGTGGTGGGAAAGAAGGAAGGGAGCAAGAAATCAGAAGTGCAAGTGAAGCTGACCTAGAGCTTTTTTTCTGACCAATGGAAAACTTGAGAAGTTTACTCTGACAACCATCCCTGGAGGAGGAGAAAAAGAGAGGAGAGATATGAAAGAGGACAGAGGAGACAGGTCAGACTTGGACTTGTAAATGACAAGAAAGGTGAACAGGAAAGCTGATGTGTCCAAATGAGCAGCTTCACACTGTGGAACACACAGGAGAGACCACTCGCTYGGCCTTCACTGTGGACTGGCAGGAATCGGCAGACGGGACGCTCACCTGGACTGCATCTCTGCCTGAGCTGCTTTCTGCGGCGTCCCATGCGGAGAGTGGCCGAGCTGTGCCGGAGCGCTGCTCTGCTGGCTCAGGGGAGGGTGGGAGTTCTGGCACTGTGCCGCCGCGGGGAGAGCAGGCTGGGTGTTCTGTCGYTGAGCCTGCTGCTGCTGCTGCTGTTTGTAGCGGGACAAGCTGAAGAAGAGGCCGAGGATGGCTTTCAGATTCCCATTCCGAATCTCTGCAGATTGGACCGAGATGAGTCACAGAAATAAAGATTTTGTGTTTTAAGATGCACACTTTAAATGATATTTTGTTTTTAGTGAAGGCAGAAGTGAACAAGTGGGACTTACCTTCTGCAGACAGACCCTGGATGTTGACTCCTTTAGCTGCCAGGAAACTGAGACAGGCGTCTATGTTCTCAATCTGCACAGAGACAAAACAAACTCCATATTTCCATCCTCATTTGCATATGTGGTGAAATATGCTGGTCAGCACATTTCTGAGAACATTAACCAAATTAGAAGCAAACATCTACCATGTACCAAGGAGAAAGTTGGCAGTGGGGATGAAAATGTTGGGAATCCATGCTGGATATCATTCAACAGTCACAGATTTGAGACGCTTGCATAAATGCAATCTGCTGCTGTTTATTTTTTCTGACTTTAAACACTATTTTTCTGACAGCACGTATGCTATATTGAAATGAGTATTTTTTTTTCTGCCAAGATCCCAGAATCCTCAAATTGTTAAYTTCACGTTCACTTTAGCTCCTAATTCAGGATTTTCCAGGATTTATATAAAATGTTTACTGAGTGAATGTCAGCTGTTACTTTTGAAGAGTGCAATTTTCAAAAAAAAAAAAAAAACTGCTTTAAATGTCTTTTTTTTCCCCAAAGGTTTTTGTCACATAATAGGATTTGAGTGTAGTAGTTTTAACCCAAATTTGATTTATACCAGAAAATACGGATTTTTAAAATTTGTTTTCTTGGTTGATATCAGGTTAATCTTAGTGTTAAGAAGCAGGGAAGCCTTTATTCATGATGGTTTCTACATTCACAGTTCAAAATAAATCATTCTTACTGTTTTAGTTTAACATAATTGAACCAAACACACTTTTGTCAGCAGAGCTAAAGGGAAGCAAACCATCTAGAGTGACTCAGTTGCTATGACAGCAGCCTTGAAGACTGCTGAGCTGTCACTAAAYGAGAGGATTTGACAGACAGGTGGACTTTAGGATTGTCTGACCTATTATACACTGAATCTGATGATTATAAAGCAAACCATATAAACAAATCATTTATCAGTGATCAAAGCAGGKGCTGATGAGCAAACAGAAGATAAAACACTAAGGATGTCAAAACGGCACATTGAGTCGACCTGTGTGTGTTTGGTTCTTTGAAGCTGGGCAAATAATGAGATAATTGTGTAAACTGGACATGGTGCTAAATTCTTTCATACTAACATTATCAGTGGATTCTGATCATTTGCAATAAACATCTCTGTGGTGCAGCAGCTCAAATATTTGCAACTAAACAGCTGGGTGTGGGCTGGAAGASAGGCTTCTGTTCACTAAAGATTAATGATATGATTGCAGCTAACATGAACTGACTAAATATAGACTGACCTACAGCTCTCACCATGTGTCTGCAGTSGGGAGGTTTCCAGCTGTGAGGTGAGACTACATCTTTCTACGTGTGAATGTGAACACCTCTGCTGACTGACRTCAAGCGTRCCATCAACCCTTTCAACTCAACTAAATTAATCACCTATGCTGCTGTTAAATCCAGTGTTATTACTCCTTTAGTGCAGCCATGCATTTATAATGCATGAAATAATTACATCTAAATAGTTTGGCCTGCAAGAACGTGATTACATCCACTTCAAATCGATTACCACATTAGWACATTTTACAGCATTGTTTCTAACRGTAACAGGTTACTGTATTTTATGTGAAACATTACTGAAACTGTTTGCACCTGCTGTTTAAAGTAAACATACGACTCTAGCTAAAGCACATAATATTAGGTCATTGTTAGTTATATCGAGTTTTACAAGCGAGCTGCTGAGTTATATAACAATAAGATAAAAAAAATCTAATTGTCTCAAGAAAATTTCTATGYACTGCACAGGTCACGTCAAGAAAAAGAAGTGGTCACCTCTACGTATGTTTTTGGAATRAAGCCTTCAGCCCCAGGCCTCCCTTGAAAAAGAGATCTGCGATCTCAATGGGACTTGCCTGGTAAAATAACGGTAAATAAATACAATTAAAAAAAACCTGTGAGAAATGGCTAGAACCATTGATATATATTACTGGATTGGGTGTGGCTAGCGCGTTGCTAGCTACATGGATGTGCACACACTGGAGCTCTTTTATGCATTGAGGAGCCTCAACACAATGAATGGAGGTCAATGGACTGTGAGGTGTCTTCCTGATGAAAAACTCTTATAACTTCCTTATTTCTTGCTCAATTTTTACAAACTGTACATCAAAATAAAGCTGAGGAAATTGTGAATTTTAAGGATGCCACCTAGACATAACCCTAGGCTTTCCAAGCATGTCCAACTGGAAGGAGACCTCGGTGAAGCAGCCTCTCAGTCCTGGTCTAGGAACACCTTGGAATCCACCCAGAATAGCTGGAAGAGGAGCTCCCTCTCCGCTCAAGCTACTGCTCGCTCAGCCCAACTCCAGAACAAGCTGAAGATAATGGATGGATGAATTCTAACTATATTACATCCAGACTTGATAACAAGAATATTATGATTCACTTCACTACACTATTTTATACAATAAAACTTAAGTTTGTTACTACTTGCTGTATCAACACACAGATAGTGACGAAAGTTATGCTTTTAAATGTACTAGATGGGTAATAAGTCCAACAGATTTGTGATCACTGATTGAGTTGAAGCTGCAGTGCTTCCCCCTGCTGTCGTCTCTGTGACCTCTGACCTGAGCAGCAGCTGTCAGCAGGCCTGACACATGCTGTCCTTCAAGGTGATACTGCAGAATCTGCAGGAACATTAGGAATGCAGACTGCAGCTCTTTCTCTCTGAATACCACACGCTCCCTAAAAATAAACTTGTTTGAAAACACCCCGCTAACCAAGTCTCTTTTTTTACCCCGAGTCCTAAACCTCACTTGAGTGACTGAACCACTCTCGTGCTGCCCCAAACCTAAACAGCAGCTGCCTTCAGAAAACATCATTATGCGAGATGCTCATCATAAATGCCGGGCCCAGTCCTGCTGAGATGCACCTCAGATACGCCTCTTTGGGGATAAAAATACTGAAACCTTGTGCTATTTAAAACTTCAGACCACATAAGCCCAAGACTGCCAGAGGAATATCACTTAGATCATCACTGAAATCAGCTCAGTCAGATTCCCAGACTCAGCATCTGACAAAAAGAATCACGTATTTATTGCTGTCTGGCTTATGATCTACCCTTCTTTTGTAAAAAATAAATAAATAAAACATTAACTAGACCATTACTTACAGGGTTACTAATACACAGTGACACACCTGCTGGTTGCTCATTACCTTCAGAATAAAAACATAAAACTTTCCCTAATGCAAACAAAATAAGAAATAATMTGTGCATCAACATTTTTGCAATAAAAGTACGTTTTTAACTATGCCTTATTTATTCCAACAATCTTCCTTTCAAGTCACTTGGATGATGGAAGATTAAATGGAGAGACGTCTCCATTGTTAACAACTCTCTCCAGGCAGAACCCCAGATTTACTCTGCAGCTCCTCCTGCCTGAGGSTCAGGTGTGTTCCTGAATGTTCTGCCTCGCCCCGGTGTCTCACCACAGTCTGGCCCGCCGCACAGGGTCGGTGGGCTGACAGCCCCTGAACAAAAACTTCCTTCCATCACAGCGCTGCTATTGTTGTGTTTGAGTCTAGTTTCACAGACTTTTCCGATATTTGAGCCACTTTTTAAACAGCTCCAAATAATCCAACTATTGATTCAAATGATACTATTTTTATATCCGTATTCTGGTGGTAAATTGGTAAACAAACAATAAAAATGTTCAGAATAACATCAACAGCATAAAGAGTTGTAGCTTCGTCTAGGGGCCTTCCTTTTGATGTAGATTTGCAAATCTCACCAGCACAACAGGACTATGGAAAAAAAAACAACAACTTTGTAACTGAGTCTTGGATTTTAAGTTGCGTTAAATTCCCTTTTAACTGTTTGACCTCATTTTAGTATTGCTGTGGTGTTAGAAAATGCAACCTTGCAGTTGTTGTTTTACTGCTAATCTAAACAACAAGCAAAGATACAGAAAACGTAAGATTATGAAAATAACCAAGGTTCCTTGAAGGAATGGAACGAAGTACAACACACAGTTGTTTATGGGACACGCGCGCCTGGCTGAAGCCACCTCTAATCACATCTTTAGACCAGTGACGTGGTGACGTTGAACGTCTGGTGACAGGCTACGCCTTCACCCTATACGTTCGGAGTCACCAGCGTCCTTTCTCAGTTAGATACCGCCCTTCACCGAGCCTTTTGTGATGCGGGGCCAACAAGGTGTTGAACGTCGTTCCATTCCTTCAAGGAACCGTGGTTATATTTGTAACCTTACGTTCCTTTTCAGTCATTTCTCTCAGTACAACACACAGTNTAGCCACAAACAGCTGATCACATGACCTTACATCCTGTGTGCGGCTGATGTAAATGCCTAGAGCACGTACGGGGCACAGAAGATGCAGCCTCTTTTGTTCCTCAGATGCAAAAGGGTGGGGGGGATGAAAGCTGGAAAGCTCTATAGACATTGAGCTGTAACTAGAAAGTATCACCTTAGGAAGATACGCAGAGTTAGGGTGCAAAACCACTTTAGAGTCATTAGTAGAAAACTGGATACAGGAGGGGTTCACTGACAGAGCGTGGAGGTCCCCTGCTGGAGAAAGGCCTTTGGTTAATAAGCTGGACCTTTCAGCAGGTAAGCATGCAGCTTCCATAGTTCTGGGTG